TCTAGAACTTATTCATCTTGCAAAACTGAAACTTTGTACCTTTGACCTTCACCTCCCATTTCCCCCTCCCCCCCCCCAGGCCTTGGCAACCACCACTCCACTCTCCTCTTCTGTTCACTTGACTTCTGAGGTTTTGCATAGAAGTGAGATCACACAGTGTTTATTTTTCTGTGTCTGGCTGATTTCAGTGAGCACGGTGTCCTCTGGCTTCAGCTGTGTTGTGCAAAGTGGCAGAATTTCATTCTTTTTTTCTTTTTTTTATGGCCGAACAGCATTCCATGGTGTGTAGACCACATTTCTTTAGCAATCGTCCGCGTATGGACGCTGCAGTTGTGCGCATTTCTGTGCTATTATGAATAACGCCACGGTGAACATGGGACTGCAGGTGTCTCTTCGGTTTACATTCCTTTGGATAAATAACCAGCAGCGGGATTGTGGAATCATGCGGTAGTTCTGTTTTTAATTTTTAGAGGAACCTTTTATACTGTTTTCCACAGTGGCTGCACCAATTTACATTCCTGCCAACAGTGTACCACGATTCCCATTTTCCCACATCCTCACCAACACTTACCTTTTGTTGCATTTTTAACAACAGTCAATAAGATGTGAGGTGACATTTCATTGAGGCTTTGCTTTACATTTCCCTGATACTGATCGCCTTTTCATATGCTTATTGGCCTTTCGTATATCTTTGAAAAATGTCTTTGAAAAAAGTCCTAACCCCATTTTTATTTATTTATTTATTTTTTTGAGACAGAGTCTCTCTCTGTTGCCCGGGCTAGAGTGAGTGCCATGGTGTCAGCCTAGCTCACAGCAACCTCAAACTCCTGGGCTCAAGCCATCCTCCTGCCTCAGCCTCCCGAGTAGCTGGGACTACAGGCATTCGCCACCATGCCCGGCTAATTTTTTTTTTCTATATATATTAGTTGGCCAATTAATTTCTTTCTATTTTTAGTAGAGATGGGGTCTCGCTCTTGCTCAGGCTGGTTTCGAACTCCTGACCTCGAGCGATCCACCCGCCTCGGCCTCCCAGAGTGCTAGGATTACAGGTCAGTAACCCCATTTTTAAATTGGGTATTTTGGGGTTTTTTTTGCAGTTGTATGAGTTTCTTTTATATTTTGGATATTAACCCCTTATCAGATGTATGGTTTACAGATGGTTTCTCCCATTCTGTAGGTTGTCGTTTCATTTTGTTTGCTGTTTTCTTTTGCTGTGCAGAGCTTTTCAGTTTGAGGTAATCCCCTTGTTTATTTTTGCATCTGCTGTGTGTGCTTTTGGTGTTATATCTGAGCAATCATTGCCAAGACCAATGTCAAGGAACTTTTTCCCTTATGTTTTCTTCTAAGAGTTTTACAATTTCAGATCTTATGTTTAAGCCTTTAATGCATTTTAGTTGATTTCTGTGTAGGGTCTAAGATAAGAGCCCAGTTTCGTTCTTTCGCACGTGGATATCCAGTTTTCCAAACACCACTTCCTGAAGAGCTTGTCCTCCCCTTATCCCGTTTCTTGGGGTCATTGTTGAAGATTAGCTGGCTGTATGTGCATGCGCTTATTTCTGGGCTCTCTTCTGCCCCGTTGGTGTTCGTGTCTATTTTTACGCCAGTACCACACTGCTTTGATGACTATAGCTAAAGATCGTGTGTTAACTTAACAGGATTATTGATTAAAGCTTCACAGTATTGTTGATGATTAAGGCATAGAATTTTAGTTTACCAGAATAAACCCCTGGAAAATTGAATCATGGGAAAGTATAAACGGACGGGTGTCTCCCTTGCAGAGCATCTGTGACCATGACCAAGTTAATTTCTATTTATGCTAAACAAAGTGTTATTTAGAGACGCTCTTCGGTTCAATACTGTTTCTTGCCCCACCATCCATCTTATGTTTCTTTTTTTTTTTTTTTTTGGCTAGAGTGAGTGCCGTGGCGTCAGCCTCGCTCACAGCAACCTCAAACTCCTGGGCTCAAGCGATCCTCCTGCCTCAGCCTCCCGAGTAGCTGGGACTACAGGCATGCGCCACCATGCCTGGCTAATTTTTTCTATATATATTAGTAGGCCAATTAATTTCTTTCTATTTATAGTAGAGACTGGGGTCTCGCTCTTGCTCAGGGTGGTTTCAAACCCCTGACCTTGAGCAATCCACCCGCCTCGGCCTCCCAGAGTGCTAGGATTACAGGCTTGAACCACTGCGCCTGGCTCATCTTATGTTTCTTTTTTTTTTTTTTTTTTTTTTTTTTTTTTGAGATATCCATATAAGATGAATCATCTTATGTTTCTTTTCACTATTTAGTTTAACAATTATTTCTATTTCCAGATTCCCCGCTCTTCCACTCTTCCAAAAGATAAACACATGCAGACACCCAGCAGTTTCTTCCAAAATGCCTTCAGTGAGAAAAGGAAAGGAAAGGAGGAGGAAAGGAAAAGGACAGTAGCCACGCCCTGTCCTGCCCTTGTTGGAAGAAGAACGTGGGACATATAAGCCATGCACATCTGATGAAGGCAAATATGTTCCTGCTTTTCTTGTCCCTAGTCATTTGAGTGTCTGCTGGCCGGAGTCTGATGAGCACAGGGCACGACGCCTCACATGCATGTAGCGTTCTTCTGCAAGCGTGGGGTGCTTCAGCCCACCTTGGAAACCAGTGTCAGGCATGGCTATGTGCTCCAAACTGATCCGGCAGCCAGAACTCCCTGTCAGCGGTCAGCCTGTTTTAGTGGCATAAGGAATCCAGTAAAACAGAAACCTGAATCTGAATCCTGACGAGTCACAACAAAAATTAAAGCAGATCCTAAAAGAAAAAAAAATTCATTTTCACTGTAGTTAGAAAAAAAAAAAAAAAAAAAAAAAAAGAAAGCAGATCCTAAACCTAAAAAGTACTTGATCACCACCTTGTGGCCGTGACACCACACGCCCCATAAACTACGGCAGACAGTGAAATCCTGGAGCAGTCAAGATGCATGAGAAGAGTGTCGCCCACAGCCGGGTGACAAACAGGTGACAGACACACCGCAGAGCCACAGGGTTCTGCCTCCGGGGTGGTGAGGGGTGGGTGCGCTTCTCCAAGGCTGCCCCAGGGAGGTGTGGACTTCCCGGCAGACAGGCAGGCTGACAGGGGCATGTCCAGACACACAGACATCCGGACAGGCAAATGGATGGTCAGACATGCAGGCATCTGACAGACGGACAGATGTTCTGACAGACAGGTGTTCAGACGGACCATCGGACACGTGGAGAGATGTTCGACAGATGGGTGTTCTGACAGGCAGGCACTCTTAGAGGACATTCAGACAGATATTGGACAGATGGACAGGAAAGAACTTCCAGATGGGCGGACATTCAGGCAGACGGACACTCTGGCAGATGGGTGTCCACCACCTGGGCATTCAGACAGGTGGCCCTCAGACGGGCGGGTGTCCCGACAAATGAAAATTCAGACACGTGGATGACTGGAGAAGTGGAAAGGTGTCCAGCATGATGGGCAACAGACAGACAGAGCTTCACAGAGATGGACATTCAGACCAAAGGTTAGATATTTGGACAGATGCCCAGATGTGCTGACAGGTGTTTACACAGATGGCTGTTCAGACAGATGGACAGACATGCAGGCTGAAGGACTTCTGGACACGCGGACAAACATTCACACAGATGGATGTCCAGAGGGACAGAGTGGATATCTTGTAGACAGACTCCGTCGGTGTGTCCTTCTGGACGTTTCCGCAGGTGGACAAATGTTCGAACACGTGTTTCAGGAGAAGGACATGCAGCTACAGAGGTTCTGACAGACGGATGTTCAGACGAATGGTTGTTCCTGCAGACTAAAAGTTTAGACAGATGCCATACATACTGACAGACAGACATTGGGACAGACAGACAGACATGGGGGCAGACGGCATTCCAGCAGCTAGGTGTGCCTACAGAAGACGTTCGCACCACATGGACGCCCACACAGACGGACTGATAGACAGATGAACATTCTGACAGACATTCTCGCAGGTGGATGTTGGGACAGGCAGACAAACGGAAAGATACTCAGAAGAACGTTTGGAGAGACAGGTATTCTGACAGATGGGCATTTTTGACACCTGTGTGTCCAGAGGTGGACTTTCCAATAAATGGATATTTCGGTGGAGTCATACTCGGACAGATGGAGACGCTTTCAGACAAATGGATGTGCAGACAGACAGACATAGGGCTCAGATAAATGAATGTTCAGATAGATGGACAGACGTTCATGCTATGCACATTCAGGCAGACAGATGCTCAGACAATCATTCGGACACATGGACAGATGTTCACACAGACGAATGTTTGGATTTACAGACAAATGATCAGAGAGATCTTTGGACAGTTGGACAGATGCTTGACACACAGCCTGACGCATGGGTGTGCTGATACACAGAACTGACAGACGTTCAGACAGATGGGTGTTTAGACACACAATTGGAAGTTCAGACACCCCAACATGCTAACAGACGTTCAGACACCTTAACAGATAGATGGTCAGACAGATGGACTTTGGGATTGACGGACAGATGTTCAGATAGACCAACGGGCTTCCAGAAAGCCATTCAGATGCAGATGGACGCACAGGCAGGCATTCTTACGGATGGACATTTTGACATGCAGGTGTTTCAACTCATCCAGACACACGGACAATGTTTTCTGCCACAGTGTGGCTTGCCTTTTCATTCTCTAAATCATGTTTTTTCACAGAGGAGAAACTGAGTTTTAATTAAGTCTGACTGATCAGTTCTTTCTTTCATGGATCATGTTTTTTGTGTTGTATCTAAAAAAGTTATTCGGCCTGTCCTCAGTTAGGGGTCCCACCCAAGCCACAAGCACAAGGCAGAAGGGATGAGGCCGCAGTCATTGATTTCATATTTTATTCTCATCACATTGAGCTGGGGGAGGAAGGAGTCATGGGCCAATGAATACATTCTGCTACTTTTTGCCTTTCAGATAGATTGGGACCCCGGTTCTAAGCGTCTCTGGGCTCCGGATCTTAGTCAGTAGCGACAGACCACTGCGGCTGGGGCATGGGGACTCCTGGGAGGAATGCAGGGACCAGGTATGGAGCTGGCCCTGGAAAGCTGGTGTTCCAGGGCTGCCATCCGGGTACCTGAGGATCCTCCATGAAGATCACATGTGGAGGAGCCCACAGCTGCCCCGAAAAGGGAACAGGGATGCCGTAGGCCTGAGGCTGGAACTGGGGGGGCTGGAACTGGGGGGGCTGGAACTGGGGGGGCTGGAACTGGGGGGGCTGGAACTGGGGGGGCTGGAACTGGGGGGGCTGGAACTCAGGGGGCTGGAACTCATGAGGCAGGAGGTCAACCACATCTGCAGAGGGAGGACATGAGAGAGAAAAGCACATGGACAGCTCATGAGAACGTGCCCTGTCCCTGAACACTCGCCTATGCCCTAGGCCAGCCCTGGGGCCACGCCCGGTCCTGATGAACAAAGTCCCCCAGGGTCACTGGTGTTGGGGAGCAAATAGGATAAGCAGAGACAGATGCAACAGAGCAGCAAGTCTCCTGTGCTGTGTGCACACCTTGTGACACTGCTCAGCAACGCTCAGCAGGGCCAGGCCCACCGTCCCCTCCATGTTCAGGGCACAGGGGTGGCAGGGCCAGCCGATGCTGCTTGCTAAGGGACCATGAAGATGAAGGCGGGGAGAGACAAACCTGAGAAGACGTTGGCCTTCCATCTGTATCCCATGATCCTGTGCAGGGCGTCTCCGTAAGGGCACGGCAAGGGCTCGCTCCTCGGCCTCTCGTTGGCCTCACGGACGGTGTAGTACAGATCCCGCAAGTTTGTCAGCATCTGCAGACAGTCCTGCCAGCTCTTCTTTATGCCCCTCTGCTTGAGACGCCGGGCAGCTTCTTTAGCTATTACGTAGTTCTTCTTCCTCACCTTGAAGTACACCTCACGTTCAAGAGATTCCCACTCTTGCAGGAAACTCCAGATTTCCTGGTGACTCCATGATTTCACTAAGCACTCTAGAAGGGACAGAGCAACGCGGATGATTTGGCATGAGTCACATGCACACCCGGGGCACAGATCCCCCCACACACACACACCTGACAGGCCCGGACACGGCTTTATTCCTTAGTGGGAGACAACGGCTTAGATGAGAAGTTCGGGCACTCAGCCAGCATCTACCTGAGTCCCGATGCCCAGGCGGTCACTGGGGCAGGTCAGGAGCATCAGAGGGTCTGGGTGTTGCTCAAGTTCCAGAAAACATCGATGGGGCCGAGATGGCACATTTGCTCCCCGGATTGGGGCTCACACCCCACGCCACAGCAGGGCCCTTCACCTCCACCAGGGCTGGGGGCAGGGGGCTCCCGGGGTGCTGAGGACGGCCCTGGGGTCCCCTGGGCTGCACCCGACTCCCCTTGGTCAGATCTGGGGAAGATGGGGACGGGAGAGAAAGTTTCCTGTGACATAAATAGGATGCCAAGAACATTACCTAATGGTGCTTCCGGTTTTTCTTTTTCCTTCTTGACTATCTGAGAGTTTCCGGTAATTTTAGTTTCATGTCTCACTTCCTATTTAAAAATAAGATATAATTAAGAGGTGAATATTTACATGGTAGGAAACCTTTTAATTATTATTACTATTTTAGAGACAGGGTCTTGTTCTGTTGCCCAGGCCGGAGTACAGGGCTTGGTCATAGCTCACTGCAACTTTGAATTCCTGGGCTGAAGGGATTCTTTTGCCCCAACCTCCCAAGTAGCTGGGTCTTCTACATGTGTGCGCCATCACGCGCGGCTAATTGTCTCTATTGTTTCGTGTACAGAGATCTCACTGTGTTGCACAGGCTGGAATCGGAACTCCTGGGCTCAAGTGCTCCTCCCAAAGTGCTGAGATCATAGGTGAGCACCACTGTGCCCAGCCAAACTCTTATTTAACAGTGAAAGGATTAAAGTGTTAGCCAATCACAACATTAAAAATAAAAATCAGACATTCTCGACTCTTAAGAACTGAAATGTAGCCGGGCGCGGTGGCTCAACCCTGTAATCCCAGCACTCTGGGAGGCCGAGGCAGGCGGATTGCTGGAGGTCAGGAGTTCGAAACCAGCCTGAGCAAGACCCCGTCTCTACTGAAAAATAGAAAGAAATGAATTGACCAACTAAAAATATATATAGAAAAAATTAGCCGGGCATGGTGGCGCATGCCTGTAGTCCCAACTACTCGGGAGGCTGAGGCAGGAGGATTGCTTGAGCCCAGGAGTTTGAGGTTGCTGTGAGCGAGGCTGACGCCACAGCACTCACTCTAGCCCGGGCAACAAAATGAAAAAAAAAAAAAAAAAGAACTGAAATGTAGTGAGCAAAATGTTAACATTGGAGGAAGGGAAAAAAAGAATAAAAATAATTAAAAAAAAAAAGAACTGAAACGTATATTCTAAAATAATGGGGACCTCATTTGCAAACTATTGATGAAGCACTTAATTCTCAACGTCAAATCAGAGTGTGCCAGAGGAACTATAGAAATCAATAGTGTGTGGAGGCAGGAAGCAAATGTGTGGGCCCTACAAGTGCCCAGCTCAAACTCATACAGAATTTCCAGGCCAGGAGAGCAAGGAGCGGGAAACCAAGCAGAGTGTCTTCCAGAGTAGGAACCCTGGGGAGGTGGCGTCCCACAACAGAACTCATATTTGGATATTTGGGAGAAAAAAAGCAAAAAACAGAACTCATATTAAAAAAATAACACGTATTTTTGACTTATTCATGGTTCCACAAAAATTTCTCTAAAAAAAAGTTTGACAGATAATGACAAGCCAAAATATGCATTTGAAAAGGCTGAGGATGTACCTTCACAATAAAAGTAAAACAAGAAGTGTCAAAACGAAATGTCAGAAACAGCTACTGTCAAACCTAGTACTAAGGAAATCGGACATTTCATACTTAATGATATCTATCGACTGAAGACTAGACAAATGGGACTCGATCAAATTAAAAAGTTTCTGCACAGCCAAGGACACAATCAATAGAGGAAACAGACAACCTACAGAATGGGAGAAAATGTTTGCATGCTACACATTGGATAAAGGACTGATAACTAGAATCTATAACGAACTCAAGAAAATCAGCAAGAAAAAAAATCAAACAAGCCCATTAAAAAGTGGGCAAAAGACATGAACAGAAACTTTTCAAAAGAAGACAGACTAACAGACCAGAAACATAAAAAAATGCTCGACATCTCTAAACATGGGGGAAATGCAAATCAAAATGACAATGACATATCACTCAACTCTAGTGAGAATGGCTTTTATCAAAAAGTCCCAAAACAACAAATGCTGGTCTGGTTGTGGAGAGATGGGAACACTCATACACTGCTGGTGGGACTGCAAGCTAGTACAGCCTCTGGAAAACAATATGGAGAGTCCTCAAAGAACTAAAAGTAGAACTACCCTTTTATCCAGCAATCCTACTACTGGGTACTGGGTATTTACCCAAAAGGAATAAAGACGTTCTATAAAAAGACATCTGCACTCAAATGTTTACAGCAGCACAATTCACAATTGTAAAGATGTGGAAACAACCCAAGTGCCCATCAATACATGAGTGGATTAATAAAATGTGGTATGTGTATGCCATGGAGTACTACTCAGCCATAAAAAATGGTGAACTAGCACCTCTTGTATTAAGGATGAAAACAGAGACCATTCTTCTAAATGAGGTATCACAACAATGGTAAAACAAACACGACACGTACTCACCATTAAATTGGAACTAATTGATCAACACCTATGTGTATATATGGAAATAACATTCATCCGAAATCAACCAGGTGGGAGGGGGGAGGAGGGGATGGGTAGAGTCACACCTAACGGGTACAATGCACACTATCTGTGTGATGGGCACATTTATGACTTTGACTCAAATGGTACAAAAGCAATATATGTAACCAAAACGTTTGTAACCCCATAATATCCTGAAATTAAAAAAAGAAGAAAAAGAAATTCAAGATGATCCCCAAACCATCACCATTACTTATTTCCAAGTAATTTAACTGCCTGACAAAAAAAAAAATCTCAACATTAAAGGAACACAAAATATCCAGCTCCTAAGCATGTAAAATGCACGGTGTGACCTCCTACCTACAAGACCTGGCATGCAACAAAACAGAGATAGACGGCTCACCACGAGTAGAAATTGCATCAACAGACCCAGAAGTGACACAGATGATGGGATTAGTGGAGCCAGACTTCAAACAGCGTGTAAGAGGTTGCCTAAAGCCAAGCGTGTCGTGGAAGCAGGAGTGTGTACGCGAGTAGGAAGATACAGAGAACCCAAACGGAACTCACGGAGAGGAAAAACGGAATAACTAAGCTGAGCCTTTAAGCAGATACACAATCCAATCAACATCAGGAGTTTGTGAGAGATAAACCACGACGTGGACGGGCAGCGCGGGACAGTTGTGCAGGTCACGCACTCGGTAAGCAGAGAGCTGGTTCCTCCCGGCTCTCGTAAGTACACCTCTGGGTCCCCACACAAGGTAGTCGGCTGTGCCGTGCCTCAGTTTCCCTCACTGTAAGATGGATACAGTAATAACACCTTCCATCAGGCTTACCATGGGGAGAGTTATATTTGTAAAGAACGGCACACAATTTTTTTTTTTTTAAAGACAGAGTCTCACTGTGTTGCCCGGGCTAGAGTGAGTGCCTGGGCGTCAGCCTCGCTCACAGCAACCTCCAACTCCTGGGCTCAAGCGATCCTCCTGCCTCAGCCTCCCCTGTAGCTGGGACTACAGGCATGCGCCACCACGCCCGGCTCATTTTTTCTATATATATATTAGTTGGCCAATTAATTTCTTTCTATTTATAGTAGAGACGGGGGTCTCGCTTTTGTTCAGGCTGGTTTTGAACTCCTGACCTCCAGCAATCCTCCCGCCTCGGCCTCCCAGAGTGCCAGGGTGACAGGCGTGAGCCACCGCGCCCGCCATGAACGGCACACATTTTAATGGCTACAGAAACTTCTTGTGAGGACAATCCAGCCTTCCTCCCCTGAAACAGGAAGCCAGCTCGCTCCAACTCACCTGCATGGTTACTCCTGAGTTTTCTCCTGGGAGTCTTCTCCCTGCAGCTGCAGAGCCTAGTCCGGCGGTGACAGAGAGCTGGCACTGCCTCTTCCCCGTGGAATACGGGAGTCGGGAGCTGCGGGTGCAAGGATGAGCTTGCCCCTCTCTGCCTCTGGTGTGTCTGAAGCCAGCGCAGGTCTGGCCTCTTTTAAAGGCCTTGGGTGGGACTGAGCCAGACCCACCCTCATCCAGCTTCTGGATTGACTCGGGATAAGCTAATCATTGCATATGCAAAATCCCTTCACCTGGATAAAATGAGATTGAGTAAACGGGACAGAGAAATTAGAGATCAGCGAGGGGGCCGGGCGCGGTGGCTCACGCCTGTAATCCTAGCACTCTGGGAGGCCGAGGCGGGAGGATCGCTCCAGGTCAGGAGTTCCAGACCAGCCTGAGCAAGAGCAAGACTGTCTCTACTAAAAATAGAAAGAAATTAATTGGTGCTCGCTTCGGCAGCACATATACTAAAATTGGAACGATACAGAGAAGATTAGCATGGCCCCTGCGCAAGGATGACACGCAAATTCGTGAAGCGTTCCATATTTTAAAAAACAAAAAACAAAAAAAAAATAAAATAAAAATAAAAAAAAAAGAAAGAAATTAATTGGCCAACTAAAAATATATAGAAAGAAAATGAGCCTGGCATGGTGGCGCATGCCTGTAGTCCCAGCTACTCGGGAGGCTGAGGCAGGAGGATCGCTTGAGGCCAGGAGTGTGAGGTTGCTGTGAGCTAGGCTGACGCCACGGCACTCACTCTAGCCCGGGCAACAAAGTGAGACTCTGTATAAAAAAAAAAGAAAATAGAGATCAGCGAGGGAGGGACTCCCAGGGACTCCCAGGGTCTCTGCGACCACATCTCAAATGCAAAGGGAGGTGTTGCAACATTCCTGCAAACAAACCGCCCCTGTCCCCCAAGGTAGCATGGAATGGTCAGCGACATTCTCTGAGTTTGTCACTAGGATTCTTTGTGACTTGCTGCGGTGGTCTGAACGGAGGGTTAGGGGAAGAGACCAGGCTTCAGCGGGCTGAGGGTGGGCGGGACGGCGCAGGGGGGGTGGGGGGTGGGGGGTGGTGGTGGGGGGGCCCTCTAGGAGGCCCAGGCAGAAAGAAGAGTTTAGGGAGGGGAGAGGAGCAGAGCGTTCTGCCTGCAGGGCGGGCTTGAGACTTGTGTATGCCCCAGGACGGGAGAAGAGGCCAAGGCCAGGTCTGGGGGGGTTAATATTAAATAGTTGGAGCAACTATTTAACTAACTATCTAACTAACTATTTGATGGTGGGGACAGAGGACAGCACTGAGTGCCCGGGGCGATGGAGCATGCTGGGGAACACAAGGCTTAGATCGTTTCCTGGCTTTGGCATCTCAGAGGTAGTCCAGGGTTAGGAGCCCACTCCAAATAAATCTGGAATCTCGGGTTTATTCCCAATCCTCTACGTCGACGCCCTTTATCTCAGGATGGAGCCTGAGTGCACTGAGCGGGACCCTCCGAAGTCAGGGCAAACTCAATTGCGGACTAATGTTTGATTCTTTCCGTGTCATCTGAGAACGCCACGTCCTCTCCTTTCTGCAGACAGATTTCAGGCCTCCACGCCCTGATGTCGCGTGGCCGGGAGACTGGTCCCCGGGCCTCCCACCTCCGGCCTGGCCTGAGCCACGCCCCCACCCTGCTGAGACAGAGGTCCCACCCAGCTGCTCCTGCGCCTCCCCAGATGCTAACGGACACCCAGTCCCCTGCCCAGGCGGGCCTGTGTCCCGTTGCAGGCACACGGGGACTTTAGGCACCCCCAGTGCCACACCTGGCAGGCCCAGGGAGGCAGCACAGGGACAGGACTCAGGCCTCCCTGCTGACCCGGGAGGCAGCGTGGGGCTGCGTGACGCAGACTAACGACAGAAGAGCAAACAGCAGGTGACCTCCGAGCTGCTGGCCTGCAGCCCAGACCCGTGCGTGTAAGGGGGCGGCCAGGCGCCTGTCTCTTGGGCGGTGCTTCCCCAAGACCGCCAGGGCGAGATGCCGACGCCAGCTGGTAAGGAACCTGGCTGCAGAAACCCAGACCTGTCTGGATCTAACCAACCCCTCTAAGCCAAAAAGGACACCCCTGCCCTCCAGCACTGGCCTTACCCTGACTTTTCCCTCATTATAATCTCATTTTAAGGCTAAAAATCTCACCCATGGGTGGAGCGCCATTAATAACATGGTAATGAAATATAGGACCATGAGGGCAGGTACTAAAACCACACAGGCACAAGAAAATCTCCACCTCCCTGTGCTCACACCTCATCCTTTTCCCACCTAAGCCTCCTTAAAACTCTCTGAACTCCCCTTCCCTACGTGGGAACATAATAGTCCCCTGTAGATTAGCCTCCTCTGTGACCTGGCTTGGCCTCTTGTCGATTTCTATCCCACAGAGAGCCCCACTCAGAGGGTCTACACCAGCACCACCCGCCTGTCTACACCAGCACCACCCACCTCCCATGCTTTTCGGGGCTCCTCCCCTGGTGTAGATGACAGCCACATGCGGGCTGGTTTGAAAGCAGACATGCAGAAACAATTCCTGGATCCTTTTTCTTCCCCAGCGACAGTTTCCTCTCAAGCAGAAATCAAAGGAAACCCTGCTGTACAGATGCGCGTGGCGTTAACCTTTTACCCACGCTGGAACTGAAACAGCGCAGGCATCAAGGGTCACTTCTGCGGGCGACAGCCGACCCACCTAACGGGGCCCCTGGTCACACTGCCCGCGGGACGCAGCCAGGCTGTTTCTGACACAGCCATTCTTCGTCCGCGTGGCAGCTACGGATCCCCGTGATTTTCTCTGGACAGCCACGCTCCGGCCACCTTCCTCCTCTGCATGGACTGGCTGCCTCGGGCCTCGCTGCTCACCCCGGGCACAGAGGCCTTCTCGGCCGGTGACAGGTGCTGCCACGCTGACCTCGACCTCCACCAGCGCTGCGTACATTTCAGCCTAACTCCCGGTCGGGTCCCTCTCTCCCACAGCTCCGTGAGCCAGTGAAGTCCTGGACCGGGTCTGCAAGTGAGTTCAGGGGTGGAACGCCTTCCCGGCCCCGACTCTACGGTGGAATCGCTTTGCAGGTTTTGCAAAGGCCAAACCTAGTGATTCAGACTTAATTATCGTGCCCCCAGGACCAGGGTCTTGTGTTTATGGGAATCTCCCCGGAGGCTTCTAGGAGGAGGCCTGGGTTGAGATCTCTGCACTGCTGCACTGAGCTCGGGGCCTGTCTTGGTCCCTGCCTTGGTCACTGCACCCTCCGAAGGATTTGGATTAGATTAGAACTCTCTAGGCTGCAGGCTAGAATCACCAGGAGAGGGTCTAGCATCCTGAGTCCCTTCTCAGAGAGCCCTACGCGATGATGATCCAGGTTGGACCCGAGCTTCTGGAGTTCCGACGGCCTCCAACGGTTCTGATCTTCAGGGCTGAGCAGCTCAGCTTTAAGAGGGACCAACGGCCAGGGAGCTTTTGATTTCTGACAATTGATGGAGTCTCTGGGGCCTGGGGCAGAAGATTAGGCAATTAGGAAAGATTTAAGATTTATTCAAGAAGGGGATCTGAATTTAAAAGAAATGACTTACACTCGCTTTCAGGGCTACTTGTCTTTTTTTCTTTTTTTTTTTTTTAAGCCGGGGTCTCACTCTGTTGCCCGGCCTAGAGTGCCGTGGCATCAGCCTAGCTCACAGCAACCTCAAACTCCTGGGCTCAAGCAATCCTCCTGCCTCAGCCTCCCAAGTAGCTAGGATTACAGGCATGTGCCACCATGCCCGGCTAATTATATACATATATATATATGTATATTCTTAGTTGTCCAGCTAATTTCTTTCTACTTTTAGTAGAGACAGTGTCTCGCTCTTGCTCAGGCTGGTCTGGAACTCCTGACCTTGAGCGATCCTCCTACCCCAGCCTCCCAGGTGCTAGGATTATAGGCGTGAGCCACCACGCCCGGCCAGGGCTACTCGTCTTTTTCAGGGTGAGGAAACATGGGTGTTCCGTTTTAAACATTTGGGAAAATTACCTAATGTAGGGGGATCTGTTCCGATGTTTCAGTGTCAAACCTGTGGGCAGGGCCCCGTCTCAGAATTTCTTCCCTGCTCCTGGCACAGTGCAAAGGGCTGGGCTTTCTGAAGGGGCTTCCTTAACAGCCATGCACTGGAACATACAATGGAAGAGAGAAACCTGAGAAGTGGTGCTCCCAGTTATGGCCCAGGATTCTCTCCAGGGCCCCTCTGGGAGGACAGGCCAGGCACGTGGCTTTCATGCCTAACGGTCGTAGAAATCCTATAAAGAGTGTGGATTTCTCCATGGTTTAGAGGTGCCTGTGTTTTCAAGGTTATGAGTGAAGAGACATAGAATAAGGGGTACCAATAGAATAAGACCTAGTGTTGGAGAGATCAGTAGGGTGACAATGCAATAATCTATGGTATATTTCAAAATACCTAAAAGAGAATAATTCAAATGTTTCTGGCATAAAGAAGGCAAATATTTAAGGTGGTAGACATCCCAATCACACTGATATGATTTTTACAAATAATATAAATGTATTAAATTATCACATGGGTCGGGCATGGTGGCTCACGCCTGTAATCCTAGCACTCTGGGAGGCCGAGGCTGGCGGGTTGTTTGAGCTCAGGAGTTCGAGATCAGCCCCAGCAAGAGTGAGACCCCGTCTCTACTAAAAAATATATTAAGATATTAGCCAAACAAACTAAAAATATACAAGGCCGGGCGCGGTGGCTCACGCCTGTAATCCTAGCACTCTGGGAGGCAGAGGCGGGTGGATTGCTCGAGGTCAGGAGTTCGAAACCAGCCTGAGCAAGAGCGAGACGCCGTCTCTACTATAAATAGAAAGAAATTAATTGGCCAACTTATACAAAAAAAAATTAGCCGGGCATAGTGGTGCATGCCTGTAGTCCCAGCTACTTGGGAGGCTGAGGCAGGAGGATTGCTTGAGCCAGGAGTTTGAGGTTGCTGTGAGCTAGGCTGACGCCACGCCACTCACTCTAGCCTGGGCAACAAAGCGAGACTCTGTCTCAAAAAAAAAAATATACAGAGAAAAAATGAGCCGGGCATGGTGGCACATACCTGTAGTCCCAGCTACTCGGGAGGCTGAAGCAGGAGGATCTCTTGAGCCCAGGATTTTGAGGTTGCCGTGTGCTAGGCTGACGCCATAGCACTCTAGCCTAGGCAACAGAGTGAGACTGTAAATAAATAAATAAATATTAAATAAATTTAATTTAAATATAATAAATAAATAAATACACTTTAAATTATCACATGTACCCTGAAAAAAAAATAAAATGAATAAAATTTTTAAAAATTGAAACCACCAATTAATATTTCAATACCAACCCAAAATAATATTCATGATAATTTACACAGCCAAAATTTTGGAGTTCAAGGGAATCTGGAAGGAATGAAGAGAGAAGCAGAAAAAAGTAACTGAGGGTTAAATGTCACAGGTGAATGCTTGTTTTCCTCCAAAAGTCATATGTTGAAACTCTGCTCCTTAGTGCGATGGCCTTAGGGCGTGACGCCTTTGGGAGGTAACTAAGGCTAGATGAGGTCATGAGGGTAAAGCCCTCAAGAATGAGATTAGTGTCTTTATAAGAGGCCAAAGAGAGCTGGTCCAGGGCCCAGTGGGCAGAAGCTGGCCCAGTGTCAAGGAACAGGCCATTACTCGCAGTGGGTGCTGCGTATCAAGACTTCGGTTTTCCAGGAAAGGATCTGAAAGTGTCTTGGCACTTTCACTCGCTCTGTGAGTTCAGGTGTAGTCTTCGTTCTCTGAACCTCAATATCTTCTTTTGCAAAAGAGGCAAAGTCCCGTCTCACCCTCCCGATTCAATCAAGTCTATCCTGGATGTGCTCCCTGTCGGTTAGCTTAAGGAGTTGGGACTTCGATGGCATCAGACAAATCCCTTCACAGCGCTTGATGGGACACCTAGGAGAGGGTGTGTCTTCCTTCAACGTGGGGAGGGATTGGAAAGGATTCTGGGCCCCGTAGCCCCAGCTGCAAAACAAGAGTTTGTTCTTCCTTACAAATGCACATCCGTGATTTCTGAATCCTTTTGCTACCTCCCGCAGTGGCAGTGCTGCATCCCTTTCACTGGCAAGTGCTGCATCCCGGCCCCTCTGTGACTGCAGAATTCGCTGAATTTGTGAAATGCTTTTTCTGCATCGAGATGAACACAAGGTGCCCCCCACACACACTTCATTCTATTCATGTGGCATAATTGATTTTCATACGTTGAACAAACCTTGGATTTCTGGGATAAATCCCATTTGGTCATGGTGTGTAACCCTTTTTAATATGCTGCTACGTTTATGTTAACTTGGCTAGGAATCGGCGAGGCATGTATGCCAGACGGTTCAAATTCCTCGAGCATCTTTTGTTTTCTTCTCTACTCTTGACCTGGGGTTTCCCTGAACACACCTCTCAGGGTGTCTGTGTCTTGTGGCTCTGTGGCTGTGATCCAGTGTGACTGTGCGGGAGCCCTGTTGGCATGGTGGCACAGGGGGTACATTCTATAATCTTCTGATTAACCTGTTGGCGGGTCTGTGTGTGGGGGCTGGGACCTCTCAGCGTTTCTCCAGTGGCTTAGCTTTTTGCCTCCTCGCCCTGCACTTCCTCCCCTGGTTGCAGCATTCCCAATCTATTTCCGTGAAGCCTTGACCCCTGTTGACTACATTTCCTCGCCCTTAGGTGAGATAAGAAGGTTCGGGAGAGCTAGAGAGAGAGGAATGTCCTTCACCCAAGCTAGAATAAGGCTCTAGCAAACTCCTTGAAATGTAGGGTTTTTTTGTTTTAATGGGGAAGGCTCTTGGGTGTATTTCACAGTGGTTACCCTCTTCTGCCAGAGCCCTGAGGGAATGTTTCCTGGATCATCACCTTGTGAATCCGGTAGGATTCCTGGAGCTAAAGGCAACGGAAGTATGAGGGGGCCCCTTAAGACTGTGGCCCCCCCAGGAGTTCCTCACTCCCAATCTGGCCCATACTCAACCTGTACCAATTCATCAGAATTACCATTTGTTTTCCTACCAGTTTATGGCTCTGGTAGCTTCTGCTCCAAGTAAGCAGATTTTGGCTTCGCCTTTGGAAATGCCTGTCTCTTCAGATTTCGGTGTTTCAACCTCAGTTCTCAGAAAGATAAAAGGAAAGTCATTGATTTTCAGCTTGTCCAGCCTTTTAAGGACAGGAGTGAGGACTTCAAAGCTGTTTACATGTCACAGCTAAAACTGGAAATCCCGACAAGTTTCTGAGTGCTAGAGAATTAAAGAATACTGAATGCCAACAAAATCACAAAAATTCTTTAACTGCTCAGTTAAAACTGTTTAAATGCTGAAGAGGAAGGGTAATAATATTTCGTGATGATTACTTTAGTGTCAATAGAACAGACATCAGATGTTTTGTGCGTAGCATCATGCAGAATACGGGCAGGAGAGCAGACACTTTCCATAGAATACTCCAGGCTTAGCTTTAATTTTGAATAAAAATTGTTTATACTTTTAAATTTTTCTGTAGAGATGGGGTCTCGCTATTGCCCAGGCTGGTCTCAAACTTCTGGCCTCAACTGATCCTCCTGCCTCGGCCTCTCAAAGTGCTGAGATTATAGGTGTTAGCCACTGTACCTGGTCAAAAAATTGTTTGTACTTTAATGCATCTACCTAAATTTGTATTTATATCTACCAAAGCAGTAAAATTTTCTTTATTAACTCAATTGAGGCTCTGCAAAAATTTTATAGTGTTTCTGAGCACTAATCTAGAAGATAGAAGATAGCCTTATAAGCAAGATTTTTCAAAGCAAAAACATTGCACAAGGGAAAAATTTTTTTGTCACTGTGATTATTTGCACCTGAGGTTATATTGTAAAAGGATAAGGCATTTTAGATTTTTAATGATCTCTGCAATAGAAAATGGAGCAATTACATTTTTATTGTGGTGGATTTTATCCTATCACTTTGAAAATGTCTGCAATTTTAGAATCAAAAAATATTTTTGAGCTGAAAAGATTGATGTGATATAAAATGTGGAAGGTCATTACAACTTCTGCAACTTATTTTCATTTGAATTTCTTTTAATCAGAAATTTGTTATTTTATCCCTTTCTTTAGTAGTTGAGGATATACCTTTTAGGTTTAGCTGTTAGTATATGTTGGTTTATATCTGACTTTTCATCATTTTTTATATTGAACTAACAGTTCTATACTGCAGAAAGAGCCTCAAAAGGACTTTTCCCTAATTTAACAGATACCCAATGTTTTGAAAATAATGAAATTTGCACTTGCATTTGGAAATCAAATATGCACAAATGAAAGATGGAAAAAATGAAAGATGTATTCTTAACACAAAATATAAAATTAAAAAATAGATTATAACAATTACCACAACAATCGAAAATACTGAATGATCTCACAAGGTTGAGGCACAACTAACAGTAAATTGGGGTTGAACTGTTCAAATAGTTGCAAACTTACAAACTAACAATAAACTGAACTTGATATTGTGACAGAAAAGGTGAACTTCATGTGTACCTGCAAGGGAGAGCTGCATTTGCAAGGACTGATTCCTGAAGAGAGCTAGAGCTGATTTTATTCAAGGTTTGGAAGTTTGGTGTCCAGGGATTGGTGGATTTTCAGAAGCAGGAGGGCTTATGGATGGTCAGACTTTCAAGTTTGCTAGCGTGGTCACTGCAGTAAGGCTGTACTGACGGGCAGACTTTTCCAGAAGCATGGCCACTGGCGCTTGCAGACTGACAGCTAGGAGAACGAAGCAGTCACTAACTGGCCGACGCCCAGGAGCTGGAGGCTGTCATCAACTTGGTAACATTCAGAAATAGCCACTGGAGTGAGGCTGCCGCTGAATGATTTTCAGAGCATGTGTACTGATCCAAAGATCTAATTATCTGGGATTATTTAAAACTAGGGACTTCTGCCAAAAGAACAGTCTTTTCCTTTCTTTAATATGGAAAGCAAGTACTTTTATTCTCAGTTCCCCCTTTTTGTCTTCCCTCAGCCAAATGTGGGAGAGACTATAAGGGATTGTTCAGATCTGTATTTGCAGAGGTATGATTTCTAGCTTGAATTGGCATTAAACTTAAGTATGATTTCTAGCTCTTGTTGCCACTTAAGCGATTTATGTGCCAATTATTGAAGCATAAAAATATCTTTAAGTGCTGATTTTTCATTAATGGGGAAAAAACCCTGAGTACATTTAGGGTGTCCTGACAAAGTCAATACCAGATGCTGAACAAAAATCATTAAATACAGCACGTCTATCTGGCAACCCTACCTGTGAGTCAGCTTAGCTTTCTTCTCACTCACCATCATCACCTATTTGCTTGCAAACCATGTTTTATTCTAATAAATGATGATCTGTCTCCTGTTCTCCACCCATGTTGTCCCTGCTTGAGTTTGGATCCTCATTCATCTATCACTTGAATTATAATAGCCCAGATTTCTAGGCACCAGTCTGTCCAGCTTTCTTCAACCCCCTAAATTTATCCCCTACACAGTTGCCAGAACAATTCTCTTTCTTAACATTTTTTAACCCATCCAGCAATTTTAGGATAAAATCCAAACCACTTAGCATGGCAAATAAGGCTTTCTGCTAACTGGCCTCGGCTTTCTACTCAAGCTTTAACATCTACCATTCTCCTGCTCACTAGTTCTACACTTTTAGGTTTCCCAAACATGCCAATATTACTCACTTCTACTTTGGCACATGAAGTTTCCTCTTATTTGGAATGTTTATTTCACCCTCAGAAGAGTCCTATTATTCCTCCAAACTTGGTTCAGGCACTGCTGCCTCTGGAAAGCTTTCTTTCGCATGTCCAGGCTCCCTTGATGAGGTCTCTTTCATCTTGTGCAAATTTTACAACATTCTTATACTGCAACATACTGTCATAAGTTATTTGCCTATTACAACAAACATGCTTATATGCTGTGATATAATTTTACTCATTTGCTAGTTCCTCAACTCCATCCCTTCCCTGCCAATTTATGGCTTCTTGAAGAAAGGCCTTTCTTCTTAAAATTTGCAGTGTGTGGTACAATATCTGCCCCAGTTAAAAAACAAACAAACAAATTGCTGACTGCTTCTCAGCCTTTTGGCTAAGATCAAGTATAGGTATGTGTTCTTATCAGTTTAATATCTGATACACACTCTATTCAAAGATAATGTATCAATGGATTTCTGGAGCAGGGAGATGTAATAGGAGCTTGTTCCACCCACTCCACACAGCAACCTAGCATAGCAGTACCTCCAGGACTGCTATACCAATCCCACAAAAATGAAAAAACAAACAAAACCCCCCACATTTACTAAGTTTATGAAGTAACTGATGTCTATCTTAGTGTGTCTATGCTGCAATAACAAAATACCTACTGGGTAACTTGTAAACTGAAATGTGTTTCTCACAGTTCTGGAGGCTGGGAAACCCAAGATTAAGATGCTAGCAGATTTGGTGTCTGGTGAAGGCTGTCTTCTGGTCCAAATAAGGTATATTCTTGATGTGTACTCATGTGGTGGGAAGCAGAACAAGATCCCTCAGGCCTATTTTATAAGGGCACTAATCCAATCCATGAGGCCTTCACTCTGATGACCTAATCACCTCCCCAAAGGCACCACTTCCTAATACCATCACCTTGGGGGCTAGGATTCCAACATATAAATTTTGGGGAAACACAAAACACTCAGACCACAGCAATGTCCTTTTCAAGATTTTGCCATGGGTCTTAGAATTATTAAAATTCTGATAAGTCCTTTTGCTGTAGCTTTAGGCTTGAAATAACTGCCTATTTTTATCTTTGATATACCTAAGGTGACAGCTCACAGGATATAGCAGGTATACTTTCACAATAAATATGACTTCAGGGCAATGAAAGCATTTCTGAGTACAGACTTAGGAATTGAGTAGAAAATTCCCAATTCATAGCAATTACTAGAACAAAAGAGACCAGGTTTTTATTTTTGTTTTTTAATGAAATTCATGCACAAAGTTTGACACCAGGTCAGGAAAAGGACAAACCCCAGAGACTGAGAGGTAGTTTACAATTAATTTTTCCCTTATTTTGGTCCTTTTCTCTAAAAATGTATAATTTCTTTGATCAATTCTTTCATATGCTATTAAAATGTTACATAAAAATATTACCAGTGTATATACTTTGACGTTTTCTCTAATGAGAAATCCAGGGCACACCTCCCCACCTACTTAGATGTTTCTAATGATCACATATGAAACTTAGCATATACTGCTGTAGAAAAAGGGAAAACAAATACCTTCTACTTTATAAATGACCAAAGTTAATGTCTCCAGTTGTAAATTCTTCATCTCCGGCTATTTTTAAGAGTCTGACAGGCACAGACATTTTCCTCTCTTACACAGTCAAGGTTTATCCATGGAACTTAATATCTAATGAGGACTAATTACAGGGTTTTTCATATCCATTACATTTATACATCACTCTCAAGTATGTATTCTCTGATGAACTTTGGTTTAAGGCTTTCATACATGCAAATCTACTTTCTAGGAGTCGTCATCAATATGAATTCTATAATGATTAGTAAGGGATGACCTGTGGTTGAAAAGTTTTCCACATGTACTACATTCATAGGGTTTCTCTCCAGTATGAATTCTCTGATGTGCAATACGTGATGAGCTTTGTCTAAAAGTTTTCCCACATGTGTTACACTTAAAGGGTTTCTCTCCAGTATGAATCCTTCGATGTTGAATAAGAGCAGAACTTTGGCCAAAAGATATCCCACATTCCTCACATCGATATGGTTTCTCTCCAGTATGAATTCTCTGATGATTACTAAGGGATGAATTACATCTGAAGGTTTTCCCGCACTCATTACATTTATAGGGTCTTTCTCCAGTATGCATTCTTTGATGCTGAATGAGAGCCGAACTCTGTCTGAAGGCTTTCCCACACACTTTACATTTACATGGTTTCTCTCCAGTATGAATTCTCTCATGTATAATAAGTGTTGAGTGGGAACTTAAGGCTTTGCCACATTCATTACAATTATAAAACTTTTCACCAGTATGGATTATTCGGTGTCTATTAAGCCGTGAAATAGAGGTGAAGCCTTTTCCACATTCATTACATCTGTAGGGCTTTTCTCCAGTGTGAATTCTTTCATGTTGAATAAGAGATGCACTCTGACTGAAGGCTCTCCCACATTCACTACATTTAAAAGGTTTCTCTCCAGTGTGAATTCGCTGATGATAACGAAGGGATGAGCTAGACTTAAAGGTGTTGCCACATTCATTACATAAGTAGGACTTCTTTCTGGAATTTCTTTGACATCCAGAAAGGGAAGTATTACAACTGGAAGGTTTCCTACCTGGATTATATCTACAAGGATTGTCTTGAGCATGAATTTTTTGATGTATGAAAAGGCCTGACCTTCGGCTGAAGGCTTTACCACATTCTTTACACCTATAGCATTTCTCTACAGTATGGGTTCTTAGATGTTTATAAAGGGATGTACTGAGAGTGAAGGCTTTCCCACATTCTTTACATATGTATGGTTTCTCTCCAGTATGAGTTATTTGATGCTGAATAAGAGCTGAACTTTGGCTAAAGGCTTTTGAACATTCTTTACATTTAAATAATTTTTCTCCACTATGGTTTTTCTCATGTTTACGAAGGGATGAAGTGTTAAGGAAGGTTTTTTCACACATACTACATTTATAGCGTTTCTCCACTGTGATTTTTCGTTGATTAAATAAATTTGAATTTTGTTTGTAGCTGTTTCCTTGTAGGTCCCACTTTGGTGGTGTTTTTTCTCTGGGAACTGTCTGTTGCATCACAAGAATTGATTTGGGGCTGATGTTTTGAACAAAATCAATGTTTTTATGGCTTCTTTCTATAGTCAGGATTTTTTTGTGGGTAACTGAAACCATATGAAAACTTTCCTTTTTATCTTGCTTTTTCTCTAATCTGCCTCCATGTATGCAAGGCTTTTCTGATTTCAAGTCCCAGGGCCCATTCCTTTCGGATCTTTTCGTTATCAGGCCCTGAAATGAAGAGTCTTGTGTTTGAGTTGACTTTGTGGTTTTATGACTGTTCTTCCATTCTGGAGGGGAAAAAAAAAGAAAATGAAGATGTTTCATGTGATATCACAGTATTTAACTACTGAGACTAGATGTGTAGAGTGAATAAATAAATATTGATGATATTTAAATATGGGCCTAGCATCTGGCCAACACATAGCAAGAAGAAAAAACAGGAGAGTTAGTATAACAAAATACAATTGATGGATACTGAAATACTAGGGAAAAGAAAAGAATAAAGCAAGCCGATTTTAAGAGAGTAAGAGTTACCAGAAGAATTGGCTAATTGAGAACTGAGAAAAGGATTATGAGGGGAGCATGAGTTGGGAAAGGCAATCTGGGTCAGTATCCAAAGCCCATGATGGACTCCTAAATTATCTTGACGTTTTTCTCTGTGTAATCATTCCTAACCAAAAAAGTCTTCCCCCTTTTCTCTCATACCAAATTCCTGTGTATCCTTCAGATTTAGTTTAAATATTAACTCTCTATGAATTCTTTCTTGATTCTGACCTTCCACAGTCTATTCCCCTTAGTACAGCACTTACCAGTATTAAATATAAGTATTACACATCTTTATAATATATATACACATATATACTATTATTATATTTACATTTCTTTCCATATCCATCTCTCTCTCTTTCCTTTTCTAACATGTGTTCTTCTAACAAGCAGATTAGCACGCACTATTTTTCTACAGATCCTCTTGACAGCACCCCAATTATATATAAAACTTGTTAGTCTTATAAATCTTATTTGTATATTCCCAATTTGAACAATGTCAATATTCTTAATTACTTACACATTAATTTCATATATACAAATACACATTTTCATATATACAAATATACATACATATTATACATAAACACACACACATATCTCAAACCCCTACTTAAGTTGCCTTCTAGGACAGTACATGGGCTATTGAAGAGGTTTCAGGGCCAGTTCAAACAGGAAAGCATTATCAAATTAATCTACAGAGGTGCCACAAGGTAGGCATGAAGCAAGCTGAGAGCTGCAAGCTAGGGAGGCAACTTGAGTTTATGCATTAAGCAACAGAGGCCATGCAGGAATGGCTCCAAAAAGTCAAAGATCAACAATAAGTTAGGCATGTATTAAAGCAAGGTTAACATGAAAAAGTAGTAAAGAACAGAATTCAATAAATATTAAAACTGGGTGAGGATACGATACAATATTAAATTCTGTCAGGAGAATTGTACACATTTGGCATTTTCTCCTGGGCTGGAAGTAACCATTTAAAGAGATCATTTGCAACTCACTGTATTTGCCATTCCCATCTATTTAACATTCACTTTCTCACCTCTGTACAAATTACTCCTGCTTGTTAAATGCAGTAATATACTCTGGTTTTTTTTTTTTCTACCATTGTTCACTTTTCAGTTTCCTTCATGGATAACCCCTTTTCCATTTCTTTTTTAAAAAATGGCATTCCCTAGGGTTGTGGACTTTTTTGCCCACTCTAAACAACTTGGCTAATTTTATATGCATCCATATCTTTATTATTTATTGTAAAGGAAAGAGGAGTTTTTTATACTTTCTTCTTAATACCTTTCTAGTTCCTTCCCCATTTAAATTTTGCTAAATTAAGCAACCAAATTTCAATACATAGTCAGGCACAGTGGCACATGCTTGTAATACAGTTACTACAGACACAGGAGGATCATTTGAGCCCAGGAGTCAGAGATCAGCCTGGGCAATACAGCAAGATCTCACCTCAAAAAAAAAAAAAAAACCAAAAAAATTCAATATATTATTTGGGCCATTTAGAGGATAGTGACAAAAATGGAGTCCTTTCCCCTGTGTTATTTCTAGGTTTAGTACATGTGCTGGGAAGAAGGTAGCAAGATTCTGCAATTTAGATTCTAGTGCATAAGATAACAGTAGAGATCCTGCCTTAGGCCTTAGTGTAAACTAAGTCTGCAGCTATGTGACCAATTCACCTTTATGAGAAACCTGGGATTGGGTACCTAGGTGGTATTTTGTTTCCCATGCATTACTGTTTCTACCATAATTCCTAACTAACGTCCCTGTCTTGAGTCTTGCCCTCTTCCAATTCAGTCTACACCAGGGGTCCTCAAACTTTTTAAAGAGGGGGTCAGTTCACTGTCCCTCAGACCGTTGGAGAGTGCACACTGTGGGCCCGGGATGAGTCAGCTGCTAAGCAGGACAGGCAGCCACAGCAAAAACACCTGGAGGGCCGGATAAATGTGCTAGGCGGCCTGCATGTGGCCCATGGGCCGTAGTTTGAGGACGACGCCTGGTCTACACAGTGCAGCCTTTCTAAAATCCATCCCTTATTGTGTTGCCAACTTCCTTAAGATCCTCCAACAGATTTTTTTTCAGTGATTCATGTATGAAGTTGAGTCCTTTACATGGTAAACAAGGTACGTCATGATCTGACCTTTGTCTACTTCTGGCCTCACCTCCTGCCCTGGTTTATTGCCAAGGAATGCTGAAATATATGCAGCACTGTTTTTTCCCCCTCTTAATTCTTTATTTTTATATAAATGGGGACATCCTTTCCATTCACAAATATTCACGAAGTGCATACTATGGGCCAGGTAATGTTCTGGGGAATGCAGATAATGTGTTGAATAAGACAGGGTTCCAGTTTCAAGGAGCTTACACTGGGAAGAAGGGGGAATAATGTGACTACTAACAAGCAGATAAATAAAAGCCATACTGATATCTGAAGAAAGAGCTTCCCAGGTAAAGGAACCAGCAAACACAAAAGTAAAAGTGTGGCTGGCTTCTGAGGAACAGCAAAGATACTGGGTGGAGTGCAGTTAACAGGTAAATGGTAAAATGATAAAATAAGACTGGAGCAAGAGGTGAGGGGCAAATCCTCTAAGGCCTCCCAGGTCATGATAAGGACTTTGGAATTTTACTCTAAGCCTGATGGGAAGCCACAGAGGAATTGTGTCCTCATTTGACTTGGCTACTGAGTAGAGGAGACTATGCTGGGCACCAGTGGGGCAGGGAGAGGAGAGGCCACCTAGGAAGCAGAAAGGGGTGGTAGTATAGATGACTGCATCAGGAAATACTGTGAAGGAAGACCTACTGGGACTGGAACTAACAGGACTCACAGGGTACTGAGAAAGAAACAAAAAGGTTAGGGATCACTCCTAGGTTTCTAGCCTGAAAATGCTAAAAGCCAGTACCAGATGCTGAGAAGGAGAAGACCACGAAACAGCAAGTCTCAGGGGGTATTCTGTTTCAGATATGTTTGTCATGGCTGAGCTGCCTTAATAGACACTGGAAGAAGATACACAAAGGCTCATTTGTGTATACTATTATGGAGATCCAGGAAAAGGTCAAAGCTATAGATGATGCATTTGAAAGTTGTCAGAATTTTAGCTTTATTTAAAGCCAAGGAACTGAAAGGAATCACTTTAGAGGTTGGGCAGGTGTGGTGGTTCATGCCTGTAATCCCAGCACTTTGAGAGGCTAGAGGTGGGAGGATTGCTTCAGGCCAAGAGTTTGAAACCAGTCTGGGCAACATAGTGAGACCCTGTCTCTACAAAAAATTTAAGAATTAGCCAGTTGTGCTGGCCTGTGCCTGTAGTCCTAGCTACTTGGGAGGCTGAGGCAGGAGGAATGCCTGAGCCCAAATGCTGGAGGCTGCAATGAGCTACGATCCTGCCACTTGCACTCCAGCCTCGGTGACAGAGTGAGACCTTGTCTCTAATAAAAGGAAAAGAAAATGAAAAATAAAAGAATAATTAGAGATAAGAAGAATAATATCAGGACAGTATGATATTCCAGAGCCAAAGGAAGAAAGTACTTCAGCAAGGAGAGAATAATTGCAGCAAATAATTTGATGACTAAAAACTGAATCCTGATCGTGGCAAGATGGAGGTTGTTTAGGATATAACAGTGCTTTCAGTGGAATAATAAAGAAGAAAGCTCAAATGGGATGCACAGAAGAAACAATGGGAGGTGAGAAAATAGAAACATCAAGAATAGAAACTCTTTCAAACAGTTTTGTTTAAAGGAGAATAAGGGCCGGGCGCGGTGGCTCACGCCTGTAATCCTAGCACTCTGGGAGGCTGAGGCGGGCAGACTGCTCCAGGTCAGGAGTTCGAAACCAGCCTGAGCAAGAGCGAGACCCCGTCTCTACTATAAAAAATAGAAAGAAATTAATTGGCCAACTAATATATCTAAAATTAGCCGGGCATGGTGGCGCATGCCTGTAGTCCCAGCTACTCGGGAGGCTGAGGTAGAAGGATTACTTGAGCCCAGGAGATTGAGGTTGCTGTGAGCTAGGCTGATGCCACGGCACTCACTAAGCCTGGGCAACAGAGTGAGACTCTGTCTCAAAAAAAAAATAAAATAAAATAAAATAAAGGAGAATAAGGAAATGAGACATGAGGAGTTTTTATTTTTTAAGGGACATGATTATAATGCAAGAGTCCGTATCAATTCTGGGAAACTCATCCCAATTCTAAAGTCCTGAATTCATGTTTTCCACTAAGGCAGACATGAGTCTTAGACTGTAGACATCCTAACTGTTCCTTATGATCTGCTTAGAACTTTCTATATGCCTATAAATATGTTTTCTGAGGTAGAATTCAACCTTTACTCCCTCCTAGATTCAAACCCAGGCCTGACCTACCTCCTGATGAGCAAGGTTAAGATTCAGGTCAGAAGTTCAGAGACCTGAATGATATTGCTAATGACCACTGCCCTGACTTGCTCCCTTTTTTTTTTTGTTTAGAGTCAGAGTCTCACTCTCTTGCCTGGGCCGTGGCATCAGCCTAGCTCACAATCTCAAACTCCTGGGCTCAAGCCATCCTCCTGCCTCAGCCTCCCGAATAGCTGGGACTACAGGCATGCGCCACCATGCCCGGCTAATTTTTTCCATATGTTTTTAGTTAGCCAATTTAGCCTGCCTAAATCTGAACCCAGTGCATTCCTTTTCAAACCTTTTTTATATGTATTTCCCAGTTCAGAATAACATCAAAACCTTTACCATAAATTCTTAGTTTCATTCTGGAAT